ATAGCACCACACATGATTGGACTGTATTTTTTTAAATAAATGAATATGTAAAGAATTGTTTATCTTTGTTCGGGGTGGGGTGACGCATCAGCAGAGTCAAGTTAGGCATTTTCCAAATTTTTGACATGCCGAGCCCAAAAAGTTCGCCATCACTGATCTAACATAAACAGTTTGCATATTGCAAATGTATAACTTGAAAGCTCCCTTGAGAGACTGTTACTTTAAAGAACGATGTAAAAATATTAGATAAACAATTAAACTTATTTTTACATTTCCTTAATTGGAGATTAATCATTAAATAGGAAATCCTTTTTTTTCACCTAGGTACGAGGATATAAAACTTTCCTGCGACTATTTCCTCATGAAGTAGCAGACGTACAGCCTGTTGTAGATATGCTTGTATGTCAGAATCCAAAAGAATATGAGGTATGTTCTTGTTACTTAAGGCACTCTCTATGAATGAGCTCATCCCATTATAGCTGTCACTGTCCTCACTAAAAGCAGACCCTGGCTGCTGAAAGGTTTCCCAAGACTTGGTATATTCAAGCCTCTTGCTGTCAGTGTGACTACAGAGATGATGAACGAATTGCTTTGTGTAAGCAGTTTTTTGCATGTTTATTTATATAGCTTCCCATTTTGTGGATGGGTCTTTTCAATTGTGGTGTAGACTTGCCTAGTATCTTTGCTAGCTTTTCTTTCTTGTCTTCATCTCCCAGCCACTTAAAGCTCAGTTGCTGAATTTTGACATCATATATGCTTGTATTTGTATAGAGATTTTAAAGAATATTTTGTTGATGCTATGTATTGATTTTTAAAATATTTTATGTACTTATCTTTGTATTTCTTTGTACCTTGTGCAGAGAATTATTGTTAGAATTATATTAGTGTAATTGGTGTATTAGAATATAAAAAATATCTTTGCCTTCATTTATACTGTTTGAATGCAAGCCTATTATATTTCCATATTATGATGCCTTTTTGATGGTTCAACCTAACCAAAAAGAGAGATACAGTATAAGGGTGGTGTTAGGATGAGACACAATCTTCGTTACTTCACCTCCCACCCTCCTCCACTTCATGAACTAGGTTTGGATTCAATACTTGTTCAATAAAATGTTAAGAAAACCAAGCCTTGGCCATTTTGGCTACTTAGGTGTAGTTTAGCTTTGATGAATGCTAATCATTCTGCCTGAAGACATAAATACATTGTCACAATTCATATTTGTTTCTGAGTTGCAATTTGAAAATTACTAGCTATTAACTTGGTAAAATGACCTGGGAATGGCAAACTCGTTTCAGAACCGTTTATGGGTTTTTGCAAGAGATACACAAAATATATTGAATGCAAAATGTTTTGATCTTAAAATATTTTTTTCAAGTTTGAAATAGGTTGATCTAGTCTCCATGGAAATGTTCAAGCTAGGACCACTTCACACGTCAGAACCCGTTTTGAGATTGAAATGTTTTGCATTCAAAATATTTTTGCATACCTCCAGTGTTTATATTGATATTGACTTAATTTTATTTGTTCAATAAGACCCAAATCCTTCTAGAACCAAACATGCCTCATTTTTTCTTATATTTGCCTTAATTTGTCATCTAGATTTTGCAAGTAGAAATAGTTTTTGCACTGCACGTTTTCTGAGAACATTCATTATGTATTTTATTGTTGTTTTTCTGATTCTGTTTCTTTTGTCTTGTTAGACCTGGGAGACTCGTTACATGCTCTTGTTGTGGTTATCTGTAACATGTTTGATCCCATTTGATTTGGTACGGCTAGATGGAAATATCTCTTCCCTAGAAGGATGCCCTCGTGTATCAACAATGGATCGAATCCTGACAATAGCAAAAGTGAGTATTTATTTATAGTTGCATAAAGTCATGATTTATAGAACCGTTTCTTTTGCTTGGAAAAAGTGATTGTATCTTATACATAAAGGCAGTTGCTTTTCTGCTGGTTCTGGATACCCCTATGCAGTCTTGTTATACAAACTATCATAATCATTCAAGATAACTGTGTACTACTTGATTTACTGTTGAACTTGATCTGGAGAAATCTCATTTATATGATCAGTTTTGATAAAGAAGGTTTGTGTCCTTTAAAAAGTCACTGTGTCTTTGTTCAGTGTTGCATACTGTACTTTATTTTATATTTCTAACATCGTAGTAGAAATATGTATGTTCTGATTCTTTGCATATATAGTCTTGAAAAAGAAAATGCAGTGGGCAATTAAAATAAACCATTCATAAGACACTTTTGAAGACAGGCTTGTTTACAAGTGCCTATCCTTCACATCTTTGTCTTTTGCAAATTTATTGGTACTTCATTTAAATGCCAGCTTAACACTGTGTATACAATTACATCCTTGAATTTTCCTTCTGAGATTTCAACTTATCATCCATTCTGACTTGCATACTGTATATATATTAAGTGAAGCTTTTTCATATAAATACTTTGTATAATCAATTTTAATGTAGTAAATTTCAACTCAGATTCCTTTTTACTTTTAGTCATACCTTATTGTAAGTGATAAGTCTCGTGATGCAGCAGCGGTCTTGGTCTCAAAGTAAGTTTCTTTCTTTTTTAAGTTACATTCTAAACAGAATGTAAGAATTTTTAAAAGAATGATTACACATATTAATGTACTATTACCAATAAGCCTAGAGTTATTTGTTCCAATGGGCAGTCATATACATTTGTGAAATAAATAAATAAACAAACCAACCAACCAACCAACCAACAAACAAGCACTCAAGCCAATACAGGTATTCCCCAGTTTAAGAACGTGTTCCTTTCCCAAGGTCTGTCCTCAAGTCAAATTTGTATTTAAGCTGGAACAGTATTATAGTATAATACTATATAAGTAGTATTGTGTAATGAACTCAAATGACTATGTATTTAACTTGAATCTTTGTATATTTAACTTGAATTTTGCTACAATAAGTTCCATTCTTAACTATGGGTCTGTAAGCTGGGCGGTCTTAACCCAGGGACTACCTGTATACATAATAGAAGCGTGACAATTTGCTTCAGAGTAAGAAGTAAACTTACTGATGGTGACAACTGTGTGGTGATTTCCCTTATTATAAGGAAGGGGTAAGCCTTGAGACTTTTCTTGTAGCAAAAATTGCTCAAAAGTATTTTTCTACTGCTACCCCTCCCAATGGCAGTGGCAATATGACAAACCAATGTGGGTGTGTAGTGGAGTGCTGGTGGGTCTCTGTATGTGTAAATGCTGTCTATATGTGACAGAGTGTATCTGTAATGAAAGATGGGGAAATCAGGGTGTGGTCACCAGTTTTGGTAACAAAATGTGTAGAAATATGGAGCCCCCAGACCTGTTTTTTTTTCTTAGTGAAGGGAGTGGAAATTGTGTCTTAGTGATCTGGAGTCACTCTGCTTCCAAGAAAGATTACTATAAATTTTCATTTCTCTCCACCTCTGCTGTAAGAAGTCAGAATGGGAGACAGGGCCTGCCAGCCACAAACATGCCTTTGGCTGCAACATTATTAAGCTTTGTTATAACTAATAGAGGGCCTAAGGAAGATAACTTATATCTCAACATTATCTTTTCTCTTAACATTTCCTGGTTAACTCCCAACATTCCATGGCTTCTGGAGACCACTAAGTACACTCAATCCACATATGACTGATTCTTTATCCCCTCCTCACCACCCCACAAATGTTTGAGCACCCCTGGAGCATGATGATAACTTTCTACCTTCCTAGTGATCTTGTTCGGCTGCAGTCTTCACAGTGTTGAACTACTTCAGATCATTATTATAAGAAATGATTGTACATATAAATGACATTCAAGTATTTCAGTATCATGGAAATTTAATGAATTATTCCAAATTAAATACAGTATTTTTCATAACTGTGCTAAAGAGAGAGATGTGATAATTGGGTTATTAAGGATTTCTATCAAATCATCTGACTTAATGGGATTTGTTTTTTTAACATTTTAACAATCAGTAAAAATAATAATAATATGATGATGATAATGATGAGCCATTAAGTTGGTGTCAACTCTAAGCAACTGCACAGATAAATTTCCTCCATGACAATCTGTCCCTAACCTGGTCTTTCAGGCCTTTTAACAGTATGCCCATCACCATCATAACTGAGTCCATCCCCCTTGCTGCCGGTCATCCTCTTCTTCCCTTTGCTTCTACCTTTCCCAGCATTAGAGCCTTCTCTAGAGAGCTCTGCCTTTGCATAATGTGTCCAGAGTAGGATAATTTGAGATTAAAATAAAAGATATAATAGTCTACAAATGAAATGCATTTGTCTTTTGTATTAAGGGTATGCAAGGAAAACTAATAGGGTTTAAGATACTATCCCAATATTTGTTAAAAACCTCCCAATGGCTCAATTCTCCCTCTTCTGTCCACATTGATTTTTCTTATATTAACAAGAAAATTGTGACAAAGATACATGATGTAGGTTGTTCTCTCCAGGTGAATGATTGCTTTTTCTTTGACTAATTATTTTTTATATTTTATTTTTATTGTGGTTTGCTACCCAGAATTGTTTGAAATCAAATGGCCTTACAAATAAATGCATTTATAAATTATTTTAATAATGCTTTGTTTGGTCTAGTGGTTAAGGCGTCAGGCTAGAAACTAGGAGACTGTGAGTTCTAGTCCCACTTTAGGCATGAACGATGGCTGGGTGACTTTGGGCCAGTCACTCTCTCTCACCCCACAACCTTGGGGTCGGGCAACAAGCTGCTCAATCAATTCCTGTTGCAACCAATGGATCAACATTTGGTTGACCTGAAAAAAGTGGACCCTGCATCTGTGGGAACAACACTAGGAAGAAAAAAAAAATGCTTTACAACTACATCTAATAATGCTTTACATTTTCTACAGGCTTTACACTGACAAAATTGTTCAGAACTTACAACTTAGCTCCAGTATATAGTGAGGATATATTAAAATGTGATTTTTAAAAATATTTCATGTAGCAAATGAATCTAACTTCACTGAATATGAGTATGTAATCTAGGGCCACGTATGCTCTGAAAATGGTTCAAAAGTCTTTGGACCTCATATAATTACAGTATCTCCCTGCTTTTCTTTAAAGCATCCCATTTTTTTCAGGCTTCTGGGCAAGGCTGAAAAAAGATGTACATGTTTCAATGAATAAATGAGAGGTGCTGTGCTTATGTGAGATTTGAAGCAATTCTTCCAAATCATTTTTGAAATATGCAGTTTATGTTAAGTGCCATGGAGTATTGGAATGGCTTTAGTGACATCTAGTGACAAGAAGTTTGAGCAAATCCAACTTTATATATTGCTTTGGATTTGCAGGAAGTATTGCAAATCCATTTAAAATATATTTGATAAAACAATGCAGTATTATAGATATGAAGATTCCACATTAGGATTGCTTTTGTGAAAGAAAGTCAGAAATCAGAGATTGATCCTACAGTTTCCTGTAACATTCATTTCGAAGAACCACGGAAATTACCTTTTGCTCCTGGGGCTGTTTGTTTTTATTTTTTCTGTTAGCTTTATATCTCACCTTTCAAAGAGGATCCCAAGAGATTGTACATAGTATTCCTTTCTCCTGTTTTTCCCCACAAAGCATTTGAGGTAGGTTGAACTGAGAGAGTGTGACTGGCCCAAAGTCATCCAGTGAGCTTCTGTGGTTGTGAATGAACTAGAACCTGGGTGTTCTTGGTGCCAGACCAATACCATAACAATACTGGCTTTCTAACCTATCCTTAGCAATCCTTGAACTGGAAAAAAAGTCTCAAAACAAGTCTTCCTTGTTTTGCTGCTAGCTTTTATATAATGTCACACCAGGTGGCAGGTCCATGCAAATGTAGCTACTCTCAAACAAACAAACAACCCCTCCCCCCCCCCAAAGGGTTGGAGCTTGTAAAGATTTGAATGGGAAATCATCAGGAAATTTCTGGTCTGTAGGCTAGGTGGGGAAGGTAAAAAAACAAAACAAAACAAAAAAAACAGGAAGAAGATAATGACAAATTACTTCCATGTTGTTACCAAGAAAACTACATGAATGTGTCCATGTAATCACTCTGCACTGAGATGAGCTTGAGGGAGATTTACCTTCCCAAGTAGTAGGAAAAGAAGATTTACAGAAAGTTAACTCCTTTTCTGAAAATTCTGTGTTATGAGAAAACAGGAAATACACTTTTTAAAGCATGTTTTCAAAAAGTGATCATATTATAATTGAATGTGTTTTTATTTTCCTTTCCTTTGCCCCACCATTTCAAGACCATTTCAGTGTGAATTATGACAATTCATATTTCTGGGTTATGACCTTCTTTAGAAAAGATAGAGTTAAAGAACTGACAGCTGGAATGTTCCCAACTGAAATATGTTGGAAAGCATCCATTGGACAATTGCCTTCAGGAACAAAAACCAGTTTGGCTAACAGGAAAAATGTGTTACCAGTTGAATTGCCCTGAATAGGTAACTTGCAACGTGTGTGTTTTTTCTTTCTGTGTAGGTTTATTACCCGCCCTGATGTCAGACAAAAAAGAATGGCAGACTTCCTGGACTGGACCCTTTCAACATTGTCTAAATCCTCTTTTCAGACTATTGAGGGGACTATTGTAATGGATGGCATGCTTCAGGCCCTGGTAAACAATTGCCTTCAAAGTTACTGTAATCCCGTTTTTTCTTTTTAAAGTTATTTTTAACTGCCAACTCCCTTAACCTTTGGAGGCACTTCAGAGTATAGCTATATGAATTGTATGTGGCTGCCAGGCACAACATAGAACAAAATTCCTCTGCTATCCTAAGTTGCATGGGAGAAGGCTTCAGCATATGTGGCAAGAGAAATCTGCAAAGTTCTCTCCCTTATATAATGATAAAAGGTATTGGAGCACTTTGGGCCAGTATGAGATGCATCATCCCTGAAGAATATTTACTTTTGCTGCAAAGACAAAGGGTTGCATTTTTCATATCAATTGACAAAAAACGGTTTAGATAATGATAATCATTCATAGGCATTATTAATTACTTATTTAGTTTTGAATGATGTGAAACTCTTTACAAAACAGCTGAGGTAAACAGACATCTCAATATAATATAATGGATTACTAGTCTGAGAATGAGAGGTATTCCTATGCACTTTCTTCTTCTTTCCTGCTATATGTAGCTTTAACACTTCTAACTTGGCTTATTCAACTACCAATCTGTGACAACTGAGCTGTAAAACTGTGGTTTATGTGCTACTAATTAACCTTAATGTATCCATATCCATAATGTATGTTTTTTATATAATATATTGGCATAAATGTGTGAAATTTTTATGGCCAGTTGCCTTATATGTATACTCATCACATCAATTTTGTGTGTGTTACAGTGCATTCAGTGATGAAGAAGACACTTAAGAAAACAATATTCTTTTATTCATCCTCTACCTTGTTGTTCATTATTAAAACCATTGACTCATAGAGTTCTTTTAAAAATAGGAACAAATTAACTAGAGAAAGAGCTATTGGAGTAGTGGGCTTTGTCTGCTCGTGATGTCCTAGTATGTGGTTGAACATGCTGGGACATATCTCAACAAGTAGGGTCTCAGACTGAAGTATTGGATATTCGTTTGCTTTCTAAACTCAAGGGTAGAAATTAAGAATAAAGTCTGTTTCTATCTGCTCCATCCTTCAACTGTAGAAATCTACTGTGATTATGTGAAAGTGTAATACTAGTGAAACTAATTTTTCTGTTAGTAGAAAGAAAACTCACTCACATGCTTTTCTTTGTTCTTTAAAGGAAGAGGAAAGAGAAACGTGTTAGATTTCAGGTTGGCAAAGTTTAAGAGTTAAAAGTTTTCCTCCTTTATTTAACAAAGCCTGCTACTGCTTGATGAAACTTGTAGGCTGTATATTACTTTAATGTTAGTCATAAGTCCTTTGTTGTATGTGGTTTTATTCCACCTGTTATTAGTGTGTGTTAAGTGAAACAGGTGAAAACTTAACAAGTTGAATCGAAACTCAAATGAGATATAATTTTCTTGAAACTAGAAACTTGCTCATAAAGATATTTTCCTTTCTTTACAGAAATGGCTCAAGTATTGAGCAACTTTATTGATTTGGTTGCTCACTTAGCTTTTTTTTTTTTGAAGCACATTGATTGTGCTGTTACTGGTTTTTGAATGTCTTCAGTATCTTTTTCCCTTTCATGATTAAAGGTTAAGTTATAAGCAATAGCCAACTGGTATTGCAGTCAATATTAGAAAAATATTTTAGAAAAAAACAACAACTTATAAATGTAAATCAAATTAATCTTGATTACTATATTTACTCAACTAGCATTTATATAATTGTATAATTTTGTATTAGTTATCCTTTTCATAGATAACAGTGTTTTGGTTATTAGGCTAATTTTGAATGAAATTCCCTTCCTAAAATAATTGGTTTAAGTAGGATGTTAATCTGGCTCTTCCATTTTTGAATGGTCCAGTTTTTGTGGCTTTAAAATGCTAAATGGTAACAGAAATTGAGGTTTGTCTGTGGTTTTGGCTATCCTTTCATGATCTTTCATGGGTCTGTTCTTCTCAGTTGCAACAAAATTGGTTTGTGATCCCAGCATACTTTGGACAAGTATAGATAGCAGGCAATGGCTACTTTCCAGTATTTCTTTTTCCTGAGTTACAACATAGAGTACTCCAACCTTGGCATATCTGAGAAGGAAATAGAAATCAGTGCTCTGGATCAAAGAATGTGAAAATAAATATTTAGAAATTTCTTTTTAAAAAATAAAGCAAACTTATTTGTCTTAATCCATCCATGAAGTTACAGATATTTTACTATTAGTAGTAAGTAGTAGTTGGAAAAAAATAGTCTTCTCCCAAATGCTCATTTTTTTCCTCAGAGCATTTTTTTCAGTACCATTTACGATGACTATGGAATAAAGGTAATTGTTGGTGGAGAGTAGGAGGAAGATGACACTGAAGCTGAGGAAAACCTTATTTAGTTAAGATTATCCTGTGAGTCTAGGTTCAATATGTGATATCTCCAGCTAAACAATATTTTTGATATCAGGTTGGTAGAAAATTTCTGAGATCTTGAAATATAGATTGCCAGATGCATAATGGTATAATAGTACTGGACTAAATATATAATTATTGGCATGAAATAAGTTTTGAATAATAAATGTCCTGGGCCAGATGCCACGTAATAATTTCACATTTCAGAATTTAGCTGCTCCTTAAATGTTTGAAGTAAAAAATAGTTTTAATATATATTGAAGGTGATTATGGAATAGACATTAAAATAGCATACCAAAATGGAATCAGGCATTATATACAGAATTGGCCTTATTAAAAAAAATGTGATGGTCAAATGCATTATAATGATTTCATCTCAGAAAATCAATTTGCTCAGCTATTTAGGCAGTAGTTTTATATCCAAGTGATTCATCCTCAGCTAAAATATGTAAACTCTTAGAGAGCGTTTATATTTTTTTCTGCTGTGGATCTACATATTTCAAATTTGACATCATTGTGCTTATGTGAGCTTTCTTCAATACCTTACAACATGTACAACAGGGATCAAGATATCCATGGCCCTCCAGATGTTGTTAAGCTAAAATTCGAAACAGCTCCAACTAGGCTGGCCAGGAATGAAATTTAGCAAATTTGGGGAGCCTCTGTTTTCCAATCCTGATGTTACCAAAAAAAAAAAAAGAAAGAAAGAAAGAAAATCATTTCACTGAGATTCCATGTTTATTTGTAGAGTTTATTATAGAAAGTATTAGCAAAGCTGATTCTACCTCATAGAATTAAAGTACCAGTGCATTTAAATCAATGCAAGATGTCCCATTTTGATTGTTATGTTTTCTTAGTGAGGACAAGAGACTTGAATAGGCAAACATAAGAGCCACTCTAGAAATATTTCTTCCTGAATTAGTTGAGACAAGATTGTATACTACTGTTTAATTCATCTTTTTAAGACATACTGCTAAATACTGACAGTTCTTGTTGAAACATGCACTATGTGTTTCACAACATGATTCTACTTATGGGCTTGTTCTTTTGCACCTGTTGATAGGACACCTGTTGTGAAAGAATGTATTACTAACAGGTAGCACAACTTTATCTCTTTCAAGTATAGGTTTGAAATATGTCACGTCTGTGTTATAATTAAAAGGGAGCATTATTTGTGGAGTGTATGCTCTATATGTTTACTGGTGATGCTTACCTTCGGTAACTATATCAGTGATTCACAACTGCCTGGTGGGTGGGTGCCTATGATAAGGCAAATACTGATTTTAAAAATACAAAACCAAACTCCAGACTGCAGCAAGGGAGGGAAATGTTAATAGCCCTCAATCTTTCATATGTGCATGTTCAGTATATGAATGTTAGAACATTACATTTGACCTGTAATATGTAATATTGTGTGTAGTTTAGCCATGAGATTTTGGTATAGATGCTGTGTGTGTGCATGTATATACAACTGGTTTCAAACCTACCATTTATCTAATTGTAAGAAACATCTGTTTTAAATTATAAGGTCTTCAGATCGGTAGACTTGTTTTTAAACCTGCCCCATATACTAGCAAATGTTTTGCTAGCCCTGCAGGGTGTAGCACTCTAGCTTGCATGACAGGGATGTCCTCATCTTGGAGTAGCCTGGGGCATAGAAACTTATTAAGTTATAGTTAATTTCTTTTATTAGAGATACATTATACAAATATGAGTAATAGCTTTAAAATAAAGCATCCTAGCCAGTAAGTAAGTAAAATGGCATGTATTAAGAGCTATTTTTATTTGCGTCAAAGAAAAGACATTTTCTCTGCGAGCTTTTCAGGCTTTAACCATTGTTTGGTAATAACTGTGTGCTCTTGTAGATTATGCCCCAGGTAAGAGATAGCCCTGCTATGCAGTCTTTAGTCTTAGAGGCACAAAAACAAATCTGTAGCTCTGAGTATTGAACATAACCTTTGATAGCTTTTAACTCATTGTAAATATCTAGATTTCAAACCATGATCTGAAGTTTTGTTGCCTTCATTTACTTAGAATTAGCAAACGTATCTGTCAATTAGGAAAGTGCAGCATAGGGTTCTAAGCTGCTTCCCTCCTTCTCCCTTTTCAATTTGCCATTAAAATAGAGGCTCAAATAGCGTGCAATTTTCCCTTTTTACCACCAGTGCATTTCCAAGCTACAATCACAATTTGGATGTCATCCATTTTAGAGTCTTTTTATATGGGATTACATTTATTTCACTCAAATCTCTGTGAATTGATGTGAATGCTCATTTCAGTTAGGAATATAGGAATGTGTTATTTTGAGTCAGACAATAGATCCATCTAGCTTAGTAATGCCTGCTCTGACTGAAAACACTGTCCAGGATGTTTGACAGACAACTTTAATCTCTGCCTATAAATTGTATCAAGCTACTGTTCATAGAAATGTTCTGTATATTTTTGTAGTATTTTAACTTAATTTTTATAGCGTTCAATTTGGAAAAGCTATTGTGGTGTAGCAGTTGGAATGTTGGATTAGAAGCGAAGAGTTGCTGGTTAAAATTCCTGCTCAATCATGAAACTCACTGGGTGATTTGGACCAGTTACTGAGGAACACAGAATATGAAACCATAATGTGGTTTGCTTACTTTTTGGATTAGCTTT